AGGAATTTATTCAGCGGGCAGAGATCGCCTAGAAGGCTTGGAAACCAGGCAGGAATGAAGGTAATTAATCAGCTGCTAGGTTCATGGCCAAATTCACACACAGCAAGGGCTGCTCAATACCAGTTGCCAGGAGCTTACCTGTTGCCCCCACAACATATGGGATACTGGATGGGTTTCCCCTATTGATCGTTAGAGACTGCTGCCCTCAACATGGATCCTCCTCTACCCAGTTTCTTTGCTTCACCAATCAGGGTGAGGTGTCCCAGATACAAGGGAGGCTGGGATTGTAAATTTTTGCCTCTTGAGGTAAAGGTGGTCTATGCCATTCAAACACTGGAGTGGGATTGTGATTAAGATTTAGAGCACCACTGTCGGCCCGGGTTCGGATCCCGGGCGCACACCGCCACACCGCTTCTCCGGCCATGCTGAGGCCACGTCCCACGTACAGCAACTAGAAGGATGTGCAACTATGACATACAACTATCTGCTGGGGCTTTGGGGAAAAAAAGGATTGGCAATAGATGTTAGCTCAGAGCCAGTCTTCCTCAGCAAAAAGAGAAGGATTGGCATGGATTTTAGCTCAGGGGTGATCGTCCTCAAAAAAAAAAAAGATTTAGAGCACACAAAAAAAAGAGAAAAGAAAAAAGAAATCCACTGACGTAAACTTGCACATCATGTGGAATTTAAGATAGAAGGGATCTAGGACATCATCTAGATCCGATTCCAAAAGTAAAACCTATTGAAAACTTTTTATGAATAATTTAGAAAACCAATATATAAATGATATAAGAAGGGTGTCGTCCCGTCTACAGCTCTCCCTCCTGTTCTATCCAATATACTGGTACCTACTTGCCAGGCTCTATGACACCTGCAAATAATTCCAGGTCCTATAATGACATTTAAAAATAGGCGAGAGCAAATCATTTTACAAATAGTTCGAAAATTCCAGGAAGGCTGGGAAACTGGGCCGGAACAAAGGTGATGCAGCAGCACCAGGCTTACGTTTTACCAGCTGTTAGCTCTGCTTAGTGAATTCGGGCCTAGAGAAGTGACAGACTTCCCTTAACGTCACACAGGAGTTACAGCTAAACAGAACAACTTCATTTGTGGTCTGGTGCTCTTTCCAATACTGTCTCCAAACCAGACTCTTCTGGTCTTCATTGCCTCTTCTGGAAAAGAAAGTGGTCTGACTTAGACTGTTAGACTTTGAAGAGACCTTCAAGGATGATTAAGATTCTCTTAGCAAGCCATTAAATGTTCCAATTCTGCAACATCCCTTATTTTGTAATCTGCTGCAGACCTTTTGTACAACTGTCTTTGTTTCCTGGTTTAAAATTTTTTATTACCACAAAATTATAAAAATTACTTTAAAAATCATTCACAGAAAAAAAGATAATTTAATAAATATTTCAGATTCATAATGCTAACCACAAGTGACCTTGAATACTTTGTCATATTTCTATGTTTAATATTCTTTCAAAAGCCAATTTAAAAATATTCATAGCAGCTTTAATTCACATTAGCCCCAAACTGGGAAGAAGTCAAATGTCCATCAACAGATGAATGGATAAACAAATTATAATATATTCATACAATAGAATACCAGTCAACAACAAAAGGAGGGAGCGGAACTACTGATCCTTGAGCTAATATGGATGAACTTCAAAGCATCCAGTAGAGTGAAAAAAGCCAGAGGCAAACGAGTACATCCTGCCTAATACTTACATAAAGTTCTAAAGCAGGCAAATGCAAATCACGGAGACAGAGATCAGAGCCGTGGATGGAAGAGAAAAGGAGAGGGAAGAGACTGGGAAGGGGCAGCAAGGGCTGACTGCTATCCAGGTGTACACATTTGTTAACACTCAAACAACATACTTACAATCTGTGTATCTATTGTATGTAAAGTACACTCCAAGTTAAAAAGTTGCATAGACATCCAGTTAAGTCACAGGAATCTTATTTCCTGCTTCTGGACTCTTGGGACAGAAAGAATATTAAGTATCAAACAAAGATTCTCACAAGAAATTATTAGGACAAGAAATTGTTATATAAATATTGTTAGACTCCTTAAATCTACAAAACAAAATCCTTCATATGCGTCCACTATTAAAAAAAAATGTAAGCACACTTAAAAATATCCACTGAAGCTAACAGGTAACAAAATATTTATTTTATTGTTGTAAAAATTAAAAATAGTAGACAAGCATATGTAGTTACAGTTCCAACACAGAGCAATACAAATATATAAATTATTGCAGTTTTAAAAGAAAAGTATAACAGCCAAGTGATGTCTAAATAAACTTTTTTGAAACCAACTTGGTTTTCACTACTGCAATTTCATTTTCTTTTTCCAAAGGTCTTAGCACAATTCTGTAAAATAAATTTCTAAACCAAAGAGAGATTAAGTTCAATGACCACAGTATAACCTACTTGGATTTAAAGCAAGGTTAACACACACAAACTGTAAAAGCAGGAATGGCATTTAACAGGTCCCTACTGAACACTTTCTAAACTGCCTCTTTTGGAGGTAGTAGAATGGAAATAAACATTCTACATGTTTGAAAGAAGAAACACATTTACTAAAATTCTGGTTGCTTTATGTGCAGATGAGAGAAGTTCAACTAACACTTTTTTGGAGGGAGGGTGGAGGCAATACTCATCTCCATGATTTTTTTCTTCGTTTCACTTTGGTAAGCTTAAAATTGTGGACTAAGTCAAGATCACTAAAATGCATTAGTAATCTGGACTCAAACTAAAAAGAATAGGGAAAGTATGTTACAACCTAGGTGCTACAAAAAATCTTAATGCTAGACTTGCTATGATATAGTTCCCAGCAAGGTGACCAAGCTGTTTAATAGTTAGACTACATTATAACAAGGGTGATTATGAAAAGATCAAGTGAATGAAAACACTGGGATGCAAGACAGAACCACATGACTCCAAACACAGAATTATAGCCCTCTGCCAAGTTACCTTTACTTGTGCTGGAGGCTTATTACCTTAATTTTCTGGAAAATAAACTCTCTCCCACCCCTCTACCACAAAACTTAACTTGGCAAGAAAAACCTATTGAGTTTTACCTCTTACTGATTTTTTTCACTACAGATTTCCTCAAATAATTTTCACCAACCTAAAGTTAAAAATACAATTAAACATTGAAATGCAATCAATTACCTTTGCTTTACAGCCACATCTGAACAAAATACATTTTAAAAATTTTGTAGAGTACTACACTTTTTAATAAGTACTTAAAAATACTCAAATGTCTTACTTGAGCATGAGCAATAACACCTGTCAGGAAATCAGAAAAAATAACACTACAAGAACTTTTACACTGTACCATTTAAAAGTTTTCATGTCACATTACCTAATTTTATGGTCACTAACTTGAACCTCCTACTAAGCTACACAAATAATTTATTCTTTAAAAAATATCCTACTTAAGTTTAGAGCATATACATCTTGTATTACATTTTACAACGTTAATAACACAAGCAGATTTCTTCTAAAACAACAAAATAAAATCCAAATGGGTAAACATCAACACACACAAAGAGATCCAAAATGTATTTAAAAAAACTAGCAAAAATTGACTGACAAGGTAAACACCAAGGTAAAAAAAAATACATAAAAAAAAGAACGCACTTTAAACCATTTTCAATGAGAAAGAATACGATAAAATGAAAATCCCAAGAAATCTCAAGATGCCTGTCAAGATGTCAACAAAATAGAATATATTTTGACTATATTTCCAACATCACTTTCCAACAAGAACTTGTTATTTTAAAAATAATCGTTAAATGTATATAAAAATGGACACTTTGTGGTGAAAAGAATATATAATTTGAAAAACTAAGAACATTTCTTTGCTCCAACATTGTGCATAAGAAACTACATAATGGAACAAAACACTGTTCTGCTACCTGTATCATCTATTATTCATGTCTTAAGTGCATGCCTTTTTTTTTTTTAAAAAAGAATAATTTGGATATTAAATACTAGGAAAAAAGGATGATAATCTCAAAGTAAAAACAACTGATTTTTAGCTTAATTAAAAGGCTGAACAGATTTTAAAACTTTAATCTTTAAAGAGAACAATCTTGTGTGGTCAAAATCACTTGACTTGAAGCTGATTTTTTAAACTCAATTCAACTTGTCTAATTATGAAATCTAAGTGAAAAAATATTAGTCTTATTTCACCCCCCTTAATCATAGAAGCTCTGGAAATGTTAGTAATAGCTGGTTGGCAGTCTCTCTTTTGCCATTTTTGAAACTAAAGCTATATATGAGCTTTTCTTCTAAACTTCCTCAAAAATACTAACAATTGTAGAGAATAAAAGCCAAGTATGGTAATCGACATTTCTGTTATCATAAATACTTGTGTTCTCTCAAGTTAGAATCAACTCTGTCCCTTATGCTTATTTTAACATACACAATAAACTGCATATTCAATCATGAATATATAGGAGTATATAATAAGCTTACCAAATATTTGGATAAACTGCTATGCAAAATAATTCAACAACAATTTTTTTTTACTAGAATATTCATATGAATAAAGTACTAGTGAGTACCAGCACCGCAGATATTTTTTAAGAGCACCTTTCCTTTGAAGAGCTTAAGTAGAAATATCTAAATGGAATAAATCAGAGTCCCTGGTTTTAAGACCTTGGTACATGCACAATCCCATCCAGTAGTTCCAGACTCGTTAGTAAAGCTATGTATTTGCCAGAAACTCTTTAAGAAATAAGCAAACACTTTCTTTGGATAACACTGTTGTCTTCAGGACTGCACCATATGGCTCATATTCTGGAAATATGCTACCACTGATATCAAATGCAACACATCCCAAACTTTTATGACTGTCCCTAAGTGATCTAAATAGAAGCACAAATGTGTGCAAGCACACTGGCTGGTAACATTCTTAATGAATTATGCCAAAAAAGAGTAATGTTAAATTTGAAAATGTGACCATAACAACTAAGCACTAAGACACTTAACTGGCATCATGAGGAAATGTCTTTATTCAACTTGTAAATTTATGGAGATTTTGATATTGCACACATTCAATTCAAAGCTTCTCAAAACTAAGGCAATGCATCCCCACTCTCTGGATTTTAAATTCATTTTGGATGACTCAAAGAATCGAGAGTAATTGAAAGCATCTTTCAAAAGCTCCCTCCAAAAAGCAGTTATGTCATACTTCAAAGAAAACAGAACAAAATCAGTGAGATATCCATTAATACTCTCACGCAAATTTAACACATCTTAACATTACAAAAAGCTGTTTTCTACTAGATTGAGGCGTTTCTTTCCTTAGTCAAATACTGTTTGTGTTCAAGACTAAAATCTGACCCAAGCCAGGGCACGCTGCCAAATTTAAGGGAGAAGTCATTCGTATCTTTACGCCTGAAGCTGCCAAGTTAATGGGCTATTCTGCAGATTCTTTCAAGCAAAGGCTCTCACCTCATAAATACATTCTAAGCACCAACTGAAAACAGAATTTAGAGCCCATTTTGATTCTGCATTGGTTATAGCTTTTACTATAATACGTTATTAAAAAACTTATCTAGCTGTTTGAGACAACCTATTAGTTCAGAACTCTCTGGAAACATCACAGTCAATTTTTAAGAATATCCTTTACAAAATGGGCTTAATTTTTGCATTAGAGTTTTGTTTTTCTGTGTCAAGCAATCTTCTCTTTTCCTTTAGATTCTAAAGTTTAGAAAAATACCTCACGATGCTTTCTTTGGGCACTAATTTCAATGATGTTGATAACAGAATTTGGACAGTTTAAGGATTCTTGGACCTTTATCCAAAGTGGCACACCGAATAATTTCAGTTTTTTTCAAAGATAGGACAACAATTTCACAGCACACTCAATTTGAAGACAGATATTACATTTGACTTGGAAGTGAGGCCTGACTTACTGTATCTGAATTTTAACACATCAAAGTCATTAGAATGAAAGTAATAATGAAGGAGAAGAGGCTTACTTCTATGGAGACAAGCTAACATACAAAAACTAGATTAGCATTTTCTTCCTGAACTAACTCAGAACTACTTTTGTTAGAAAAAAATAATGTATTTTATTTTCTTGGATACTTGCTTTAAAAAGTTATTAATTCCTCTTTCATAAGAGTTATCAGAAGTCAAAACAATTTAACTAGATAGATTTCTACTCCAAAATACATTTATCTCTGAAAAACAAAATAATAGTTGTAAAAACAGTATATTAAGAGAATAAAATGCAGTGATCTGAAATATGGGTGAACATTCACACATGAAAGTGTAAATATAATATACAGAGCCATTCAAATACACATTTATAAAGAGAATGGGAAAGGTACCTAAAATAGCATTTTTATATATAAAATTTTCATATTAAAATATTGCTCATAATAAATAAGAGGTGATATTATGAATTCCATTTCCCTCTTAAAAGTTATCTTTAGTAGTTTAGACTAATTAAGGAGTTTAACCTTCTATTGTTTTGACAGGCGAATTACATTAAAATATGTTTAATAAAAACACACTGTAACAGTATATTTAAGTAGTCACATGTGGTAAAAGTTAGGGAGGGCCATTTAGTAATTATGGGAAAAAAGATGCCCAAAATGAACCAAAATGATTATCCCTAGAAGAATAGAGCATAATGATCTGCTTTATTTGACAAAGATGTTAAATATTGCCTTGAGCTTTACAAATTTAACAACCATAAAAAAACCGACCATGACTTTCTTCAGCTTCTTCAAAGTCTGCATGCTTGGCAGATCAATAAATGGTAGGGCATAAGGGCTTAAGAAATAAGTGTAAGTGTAGTTCAGTTGTTGATGGGTAGGTGTGACTTCATTCCTGTTCGCCCCACTTGCAAACATGGTAACTTGGAATAGTTCTTGAGAAGCTGTTCAATGGCAACATGGCGGACATGGAGCTGTGAGGCTAAAGAATCTTTTTCTTGTACTTGGTGTGTTAACTCTTCAAAAACTTCTGTAAAGATTTAAAAGGTAGTTCCGTTTTAGTACATAGAAAGCTAATCCTACGATTTATATTTCAAATACACTACCTGAAATGAATGCATTGGGCGAATGTTCGCAATGAAAGTGACTTGACACTATGGAAACAGCTGTGTTTTGATCATCCTAGGAAGCTGTATACTTTGCACAGCCAACTGTAATACTGTATTCTTCTTCCCCGTCAAGTGAAAATTTAGTCATAAGCAATGACTACAGAGATGCACAGCAGAAATGGCACTTACAACTACCTCTGTGACACTTTTCTCAATCTGAATATATCAATAGGTTTAATCAACATCTAATAAGACTTATGGATCAGAAGTGCTCATTAGTACTTGGAGCACTAGTACCAGGCTGGAAACCGCTCTAAGAGGCTTTGGAATCAGACTATCAGGGTTTTTGAATCCTTGTTCCTACTCTTAAGAGTCTCAGGCAAGTAACTTAAACTATGTCTTAACTTCCTCTTACGTCTAACCTCAATAATGACAGTAAGCACCACACAGCATTACTGTGAGCATTAAATGAGATCATACTTGTAAAGTACTTCCCACAGAATAAGTACTTGATAAATATAAGTTGCTATTACTATTATTATTGTTATTATTTTATTTTATTATTCTGAGAGGCTGTGTGGTTGAGAAAGACCACTAGCTTTGGAGTTAAGGCAGGGGTTAGAATCCTTCATCTGTTATGGACTGAATACATCATCTCTGTAAGCAACTTAATGTCTCCGAAGTGCAGGTGCCTCACCTAAATGGGAATCATGTGTTAAAAAAAAAAAAGAAGAGAAGAGAAACAACTGGGGAATTTGAACACTAACCGTTATTCTTACCATATTTGATGATGCTAAAGAATTACTAGCTGTTTTTTTTTTTTTTTTTTAGGTACGATAATGAGGGTATGACTGCCTTAAAAAAAGTTATCTTTTAGGGGCCGGCCCGGTGGTGGAGCGGTTAAGTGTGCACGCTGTGCTTCAGCAGCACACGGTTCACGGGTTCGGATCCCAGGCACGCACTGACACACCACTTGTCAACCCATGCTGTGGCGGCGCCATATAAAGTAGAGGAAGATGGGCACAGATGTTAGCCCAGGGCCAGTCTTCCTCAGCAAAAAGAGGAGGATTGGCATCGGATGTTAGCTGAGGGCTAACCTTCCTCACAAAACAAAAAAGAAAAAAGTCATCTTTTAGAGAAAATTCTAAAGTATTTATGGACAAAGCAATATGTTGTCTGGGATTTGTTTCAAAATAATCCATGCTGGGAGTAGGGGTGGGGCGAGGGGAATGGGTAGAAGTAGAGACGAAGGAAACCTAGCTATGCTTCTGATACTAGCTGAAGCTGTTGAAGATGGGTCAAAGGGTTCACAATACTTTCTCACTACTGTTGTGCTTGAAATTGTTCATAATCAAAAAAAAACGAGGCTAATACCACCTGCCTTAAAGAACTGTTAGGGAGCACAACGCACAGTGCCTGGCACACGAGTAGGTGGTCAATAACATGTTAAGAGGTAGAGACTAAGTGGTAATCTACATTTTCACTTAACAACTTGAGAAACCTCTTTCTCCTGCAGTTCATAAAGAAGTTGTTTTCTTATTTTTGCTCTGGAAACTCTAACAGGTTCTACTCCCATTTCCAAATTTAAACGCAGATGAAGCTAACGGTGACCTGTCATAGGGGATTTTCTGTATCAAAATTTTCACATGCAAAAATCATCGACACTGATTCTTTACCCTGTATCTGCTGTCCGAGCTTTGCATTCAGTTGCTTTACCTCACCAAGAGTCATCGAATTCACTGAAACATGAAAATAGTCATTATTACCACAACAACCTGGGAAAATAAGCTGCCTACGTCACTAACACAAGATCCTATTTAAAAAAAATATTGTCACTTATCTGCCAACATAGCATTCAGCAGTACCCTAGGATTCATTCATTAACTCTTACACAGTGTGGAGGAGGAGTTGTCAAATTCTGACCACAACCCACAGTAAGAAACATGTTTTATATCACTCCCAGTACACCTCCACCTGAAACAAAAGTGTCACCAAAAAATACTTAGTATTAGGTCCACTGGATTCTGATATTTCTTACTCTATTTCAGTTTTTAAAAAGTGCTAGTCACAATCAAGTAATTTTGCTTATGCACTACATAGTTCATGATCCTCACTTTGAAAAACACTACTTTAAAGTACTGTTAAAATAGTCTGAAAAATCAATTTGTCTATCTAGTTATATAACCTTAGATAGTTGATATGTAGAAGAAGTTGTATAGAAATATACCCAAAGTCCCTTCTAGCTCTAAGATCACTTGATTTTAAGTCAATTAAAATTATCTCAGCTTCCGTGCATTTTTGTAAAAACAGATGCACACTGAATCACTTTTCCAACTTTACAATAAGTGCACACATTACCTTTGGCCTTTAGTAAAATGTGAGAGTTTTGCTTTCAAAATGCCACCCCCAGTTAATTAGTCTTGTAGGGATTAGCACGTGACAGTGTGTGTTAGTCAATAGTTGAGCCTGTACTTCTAAACAAGATAAGCCCTGAATTTTCCAATTCACAGTTTGTTGATTCTATTCAGTTTAATAATTTAAAATGACAAAACAAATGATGGGACCGCAGAATTCCAATGCTTAGGACATACTAAGAAGTATTCCAGAAGTGATGGGGAGTTTTAAGACATCTCATTTTTGCTAGGGTGAACATGCCATTTAAATATTGTATTTATCAGGGGTCGGCCCCATGGCGTAGCGGTTAACTGCGCGTGCTCCGTTGCTGGCAGTCCGGGTTCTGACCCCGGGCACACACCGACGCACTGCTTGTCAGGCTATGCTGTGGTGGCGTCCCACATAAAGTGGAGGAAGATGGGCACGGATGTTAGCTCGGGGCCAGTCTTCATCAACAAAAAGAGGAGGATTGGCATGGATGTTAGCTCAGGGCCGATCTTCCTCACAAAAATAAATAAATAAATAAATAAATACTGTATTTACCAAATCTATAATTCTACAGCAAAATTCTTGACACATCATGCATATATAAAAACATAAAAAACAACAAAACTCCAGCCTTTACCTCTCCCATTTTACTTACACTCCTCTCTGCTGTAATGTGGATGCTGGGTCTGGACATTAGCTTCTGGATTAGAGACTGTCTCCTCTTTGTTCTGTGCCTGGCTGTGACTATGAGGCCACAGTACACTATTATGGCATAAAGTGGCACCCGAATCTTGTAACATAGCAAGCCCAAAGTCTGTATTTTCCCTCTGCTCCAAAATTCTTTGTGTACAGTTTGAGAGGCCACCTGTAGTTCCATCTAGCCATTTTGCAGAATACTTTGGTACTTGGGAGTCAAACTGTGGGAGTAACTTTTTATCAGGTTTATGCCTGAAATTAAACAGGTGATGCTGGGGATTTTTAGAACATTCAGAATCTGAATCCAGATCCTTATTTTGTGCATACTGTACAATCCAGTTTATCTTCTTACTCAAAATGGTTTTAACTTCTTCATAGGTACTTTTTGAAAGCTTAGATCGAGGACAATCCTGGTTTGCAATCAAATGGAATTTTTCAAAGCAGTCTTTATGGCCCCTTAATGATCTGGTGTGCAAGAGATTCGATTTTGGTACTCCTACAGAAAAAAAAAAGAGAAGACAGAGACTTGAGAAAATTTTGTTTTTTAAAGTTGCTTTAAGAATACACAAATCTTAGTAAAATACAGTCACTGACAGTTTATAAATTAGAGGAAAAATGCCAAAGTATATTGGTATTAATAATATAAAATATGGTCTAATAATTTCTGCTTCAATTTAACTATATATTCAGTGATATTAAATTCTTATGAATAGCAAAGCCTTTCTAAAGACTTAATGATTCAATTTTAACCTTAGTCCAGAGATATGTTATAGCATACAATATAAAAAATACTACTGAACCAGCAATTTACATTTACAGAATCCTGGCCTTTACATTATAGTGCTTTCTTCACTAATCCTCCTGAAGTACACACTTGCAAAAATTTCTATTACAAGGCTCAATAAGAGAAATGCTTGACAATTCTTTTCTAACAAAAACATAGTAAATTATATTCTTAAATTATTACTTATGTTTTATTGGGGAAAGACAAACCAGAACCAGAAAAATATACGTTAATAAAAGCCTCAAGAAGTCAATGAAGGGCTGGCCGGGTGACGCAAGCGGTTAAGTGCGCACTCCACTGCGGTGGCCTGGGGTTCGCCACTTCGGATCCCCGACGTGCACCGATGCACCGCTTGTCAAGCCATGCTGTGGCAGCATCCCATATAAAGTAGAGGAAGATGGGCATGGATGTTAGCCCAGGGCCAGTCTTCCTCAGCAAAAAGAGGAGGATTGGCAGGTGTTAGCTCAGGGCCGATCTTCCTCACACACACACACAAAAAAGTCAATGAAGTGTTCAGATTCATTTTTTTAAGAAAACGAAAGCATCTGAAATGTTTTCCCATTTCTGTATTATACTTACTAAAGCTTTATCAAGATAATTTTATCCTCTGGAAAAAATACACACAATTATTTTTCATATAGCAGTAAATTCAATCTGTCAAGATACAACAGTCAGTATAATTCCTCAACTCACAAATGTTCAATACACACAATAAATAATGGAAATATTCTTATTACACTTTTATTATCTCCCAATTTTTAATAGAGCTTAAGTATGCTATCTCAATTGTTTTTTAAAATATAGAATACATTTTAAAATATGCAATACATTTCAAAATACAGAATACATTCATATATTTTCCTAAATTCAAGACATAGTATTAAAGTCAAACAGCAGTGCTTTTACATTGAAGGTGAATAGGGATGTGGAGCTGAAAATTAATGCCTGCCAGAACTAACCAGTCTAAATCTGCTTAGCTTTGAAAACAGAGTAAGTGGAGAGCCACTCAGGTGCTAGGTTAAAAAAAAAAAGTTTTAGGGCCGGCCCCGTGACTTAGCGGTTAAGTGTGCGCGCTCTGCTGCTGGCGGCCCAGGTTCGATCCTGGGCGTGCACCGACGCACTGCTTCTCCAGCCATGCTGAGGCCGCGTCCCACATACAGCAACTAGAAGGATGTGCAGCTATGACATACAACTATCTACTGGGGCTTTGGGGGAAAAAATAAATAAATAAAATTAAAAAAAAAAACAAAAAAGTTTTAGCTGACTCATCAGAAAAAATTACCTTCTGTATTCATCCTTTGTTTTAAAAACTGAAGTCGTAACAATTTTATTAACTGAACTCCAAACTCTAGCTAATAGTAAGATAATGAAGCATTTGCGTTTTAGTGGTATTAAATCAGGAATAAAAGTGCTTGCGAATATTAATTTGTTCCAAAACCATATAACATCAGCCAGTGGTGGGACCTGCTGAGATTGTCAAAACCAGTGTAAATGGGCTCTCTATCAGCTCCCTCACAAGTAAGCTATGTGGGCACCCCTCCTGAACACTAATAGTACAAGCATATGTGAACCACTGCTCTCACGAGGTAAACTCAAGTATCTCAGCCTCAGCCTTGTTTCTTCCACTGAGCGCAAAAGTGAACTTAAACGGAATTTCATACACATTTTATTTACCACTTTGCTACCTGTACTGCAACTGTATGTGTGTATATATATATTTTTTTACCAGTTATTGTCTGATTAGATCAACTTTCCAGCAAAATTGAAATACTTAAATGCAAAACCTCAAAGCTCTATTTGATAACTCAATGTACACCTTCAAAACTAGGCAAATTAACATAAAAAGGAAGTTCACAAACCTTATTTATTAGAATAAAAATATTTAAAGTTTTGTAATATGTTTTAGGTCATAAATAAGACAAAAAGGTAGTACAAGTTATAGACCAAACAGCTCCCTTCTGCTATCTGATTCTAATACTACCGCTCTGGGTAAACAGCGAGCAGGCAGACAGGACTTGAAACCTGCTTACTTTACTTATTCTGGAAAATTTATTGAAGAGCTTCCTTACTCTCTGTAAACTCTCTCAGGTGTCGTTGCCAACAGATGGCTAGCTAGTCCCTCGACACAGCAAACAGTGTCATTCTCAGACCATGGCCACAGCTCTAATCTGTGTGGCAATGATTTAGCTGAATCTAAACATAGTAATAAGTTTCTCTTTCAGTCTATATGAAAGGAAATTCTTTAGCATATAAAAAGAGTTCTCAACTAAGCTATAGACAGTAGTTAATTTTTGCTGTTAAATTTTGTGTTCTTTTGTATTTATTTAGAGACTTCAAAAATTGTATTAAAAAAAGATAAAAACTTGTATGAAACAACGAATTTCCTCACATACCCCAGAGCTTCAACAACAGGTCAATATAATAGATGTCTATTTGAAGAATAATGTGGGTTTTTAAATATCTGTTTATCCAATGTTGCTTCTTAGTAATTCACATAATAAAGTTCTCCAGAAATAAATTTTCTTTTAATTTTTACTTAAATCCCCAAATGAATGCTAGGAACCCAGATAAGCACATGATTACATGCATATAAGTCATCTGTTGAGATGAACAGCAAATCAGAGAACTATAATACTCAATTTACTGTGAAAATACATAAATGCAAAGTAAATTTCAGATTCTTTCAGACTTGCAGGAGAAAAATCCCCTAAAAAAGACGTGAAATAAAGTGTCATGGGTAGGAAGAGTTTTGAATACAGCGGACATTTCCACTTAGATGTCCCATGGGCTCCTCAAACTCACCCTGCCTAATGAAACTCTTCCTCCATTCTCACCCCTCAATCCCCACACCCGATCCTCTTCCGAGTCTGGCACCACCAGGCGCTCAAGGAAGAAACCCGGATGTCCTCCATGACAGCTCCCCCTACCCATCCCAGATGTTTTGCTGTCCATCTTAATAGTCCATCTTTTTTTCCCACAAAATCTAAGTACAACATCTCAAATCCTGCTTCACTCCATTACCACTCCTACTATACTATCTGGGTCATCATCATCTCCTGTCTCATTCTCACTTCCTCTCAGAAGGCTTTCCTAAACTAAAGTAACTCAGGTGTATTGTTTATCACACCAGATTTTACGATTGCCTCTTCACTGGCCTTCATCTCCTGCCAGAAGGTAAGTCTGCAAGAAAGGGGACCATATCTGCTTCACATGCAGGCTCAGTGTCACACTGCCTGGCACATGCTGAGTACTCATGAAAAAGTAGTTAAATGAATGAAGAAAAATTAATTATATTAAAAAAACCTCCCAGACTTATTACCAATTATGATTTAAGGTCTACTGCAATGAAGTTGTGCCCATCCTAGCAAGGGAACCAGGATGTGCAGTTTTGCCAGGCTGCAGAGGTTAATTAAGGCATCTTCCATTGAAGTTACTCCTACATTTAGTTTACTGGGCCATTAGTCTGAAGAACTGATGAGTGGCACTAATAAAGACATGGTATTCCTGTGGCATCATTCAATCTGCTAAGCAAAATCATGAACTTCTACTCAATTATATATTTTTAACAGAAATTTACATACAGTGAATATACAAGAAGGTGGTTTTATGTAAATTGCAGCTCATTCATCCAGATCTGTACCTCTAATTTCTTTAGCTCACTGAAAATTTAAAACTTGACTGAGTTTTAAAGTTCAATTTGAAAATATTTGTTTTATAAACACAGTTTAAAATATCCCATGCAGTAGCAGAAGAAACAAAAAATTCGAAAAATATAATAGACTACTTCATCTACTTGAATAAATTACTTTTTAATCAAGAAAAGAATGGGAGTAGCCCACTTAATTTGTATCAGCAATATATGTCATTTATAAACCCCCGAAGTGATTTTGTTTTTTCCACCTCATCAGTTCAAATTAATAAGAGAAACAACCATTGCTATTATCAGAGATCTCAGTGAGTTTTCCAACTGACTTTCCGATTTTAATTGCATTTACAAGTGTAAACAGCTCTGAGCACTAATGTGCTTCCTCAGCAGCTTTTTTGAAAGGAAATGAATCTAAATGCAATTAAATGAGCTGATACTTTTGAGGAGCTGAATTTTAAGGCATTTCCAAACCTGTTCAACAAAAATTGCACCACAACTTTCTTTCTAATAAAAACTTTGAAGGCCAATGTAATTGACATCCTAACTATCATGAAAACTTCTTTAAAACATACCTTGAAGATGTCCATGTAACTTTTTTTGTCATGAGGTCATTATTATTAGAGAACCAAGACTTTAAGCAGCAACCATAATTGCTAAATTTTTGTAAATAGTAATTTCTTCTGGATAGAGGCTATTTAGAAATTTATGTAGGCAGTATATTTCTGTATGAACAGTGGTATTGTAAAAAGTTAAGCTGTTCCTATTCAATAGTTTTCTTTCTTTTTTATCTTTTCCCACTTTTACCTCTGATTTTGTTATATCATTCTCACACACTCTGAAACCCTCCCACTGACCCATCTGGCATGCTGTCCTCATGTCTATTCTTTAAGTCCCTCTTAAAATCAATTTACTTTAAGAAAACATGGTTAAACCCCTAGAAGAGCACAAGCCACTCAAATGTAGATCTTTTTGTCTACCTACCACTGTTATCCTTTTAAAGTAAGGATATTTCCATGCTTATATTTAATCAGCCTGTCACAGTAATACAGTTTTTTTCCTTAATTACATACTCCAAATGGCACTAAAAATAGCCACAAACCCCAAAACACTTAACAAGTTCTACCACGTCCCCTCATCCTCAGCTTTTACCCCTAACCTCTCGAAGAAGACCTTATTTATGATTTGGTAGTGATGAGGTAAGCTAAGCAATCTTTTCCTGATGGCTCACCAGCTGGTCCTGTCAAAAAGCACTGTCTCTCAGCTGACTACATGGATGCTACATGGTTGTATATTTTACACATTCTTGAATCATATCATCTGACTGCCTTATGCATGTTTACTCTCTGTCAATTACACTTCATTTTGAATTTGATTATTATATTTCATTTCCCAGTCAAAGGAACGGCTTCATATAATTTGCTCCATAGGTAGAGCAAATATAATACAACCAGTAGTTGGATGTAAAGCTTTAATACACATGTTATCATGTCAGGAATAGATTTTAAGCTCTAAGAGATCAAGCACTTCAACTTTTTCAAACTACTAACCAGAATTCGAACACTGGCAGTATTGGTTTTCCAAATGATAGGTTTGAGTGTGTTCTTTCTTAATATTTAAATAAGGCAAGAAAATGTAGCTAGGCAAGAAAATGTAGCTATGATTTAAGTTCCAGGTTGTTAACATGCTGTGAAGAAATTTTAAACATATTGTCTTCAGCCCTGACCAACATTTGTGCAACAATTCACACGGTACTGCTTCAAAATCTTTCCTATGGAGGCTCACATTTTGCCCAGCTTAAAGAATTTCCCAAGAGTTGATGTGTTTTTCTTTTTATGATGATCTTATCTTGGTTGCTAAGAAGGGGAGAACAAGACCTGCATGTTTATGTTCTGCCCATATTAAGCAGTAATCACATTCTTCTTCAAGCGTTAACTGTAAAAATGGGAGGATAGCTAAACCTGTTGTTCTAAGAAAGACTAAAAGGATTGAGATGCTACTTCTTTGTTTTTGAGGATCAGATTCCCATTTCTGATAAAAGGATAGAGGAAATGTTCTGTAAGTAGAGGCGGCACACCCACAGCCTGAAGTCTGGACCCATACTGCACACGAGTTTTGTTTAGCCTACAAGTGTTTTAAAAGAAAAAAAAAAAATTAGAGCCACTTAACAATTTTCAATTTCTTGGTTTCTCTTAACAACAAAATCAAAAGATTTGGCAGCAACTGGCTGGTAATGAGAAGCAGCTACCATCTGAAAATAGGGCAAGTGCTCTTCAATTCAAACACTTCTTACCACTCCCTTCATGAGTGTGCGGGTACCTGTGACCTAGCAGGCGCCTCAGCCACGTTGGTTAGTGACTCTTATACTATACTAAACCTGTGCAATGATATAGGTGTGGATTGCTTCTGTGTAAATACTGCTTGTCCCAATGATGCCTTGACACCCAACTCGACCCGACTACTCTGCATTTGATGAGCAAGTTGCAGCAGCCAAGCCATGATTCAAGAGTTATTACCATTTTATCTATTGCCAATCACAGCCACTTAGTGGGAGGAAGCTTTGATTGTCTATCCTGTCATGGGATAGATAGAGACATAGAATTAGATACCTAATTTCCTTTAGGTAGGAAATTAGACCAAAGATGGGTATGCAAGGATGGACAGCTGGAGCAGCTACTTGCTTCCTAAACCCACAACAGGACAGCCTTCTACCTCTTGGAAATCTTTATCGGTTGTCTTATGTGCCTTAGTAAGTACTGTGATAAACAGTGCCCCATTCCCCTCCCTCTCATGCCTTTAGCTAACTTAAGAGTCACTTAGTTTGTCATGTTCAAGTACCCAACATACTGTTTAAAAGTAATAGGTAATTGCTTATCTCTGCATTGGCAGCAGATGGAATTACTGGCAACCACACTAAGCCAGTATACAGATGGATTCAGCAACTTGCCTTTCCACATTTTGAGAATCACTGCCCTAAAGAAAGATACACCAACAGGTGGTCTTTAGACAGCAGATTTCAGCTAAGAGACTTTATTCCATTTTAAAGTTCTTGTGTGTGCTAAGGATTAGGCAGTTGAAGCAGTGTAATCCAATAAATGAATTATAAGGGCAAATTTCAGTGAGCGAAGAGTTCAGAGAGATAATGTGAAAAGATAGACCTCAACCTCAAATAACCAAGGAAGCCATGGTAGAGCTGAGTTCTCATATTGATAGGAGATGTATAAATTGCAAATCAACAAGAAAATCTCTCTCAGTGAATTTTACTTTTTCATTATAACAGTTGGAAAAATTGGGGAAACACACCTACATAACAACTGTTTATTACTAACAGTATACAAAAAATAACAATCCACACTCAATTCTAATCCCTAATTTAGCTACCTGTTTTTTAACCAGCAATGTCCAATAGCACTTTCTGTGATGATGGACATGTTCTCTATCTGTGCTACCCAATACGGTAGGCACTAGTCACATGTGTTTATTGAGCATTTGAAATGTAGCTACTGTGGCTGAGGAACTAAAGTTTTAACTTTAATTATAATTAACTTAAATTTGAATAACCACATTGTGGCTAGGCTACCAAATTGACAGGACGGTTTGTCTATAGGTAATTAAATAAGCAAAAGGGCACTTGGAATGAGAACATGGATGGAAGCTCATAGCACCATAGAATATAAAAAGCTAAATTTGTTTTTCTAGTACATTAAAATATATCAAATTTAAACTATATATATAAAACTATATATATAAACTATACATATAAAATATATATATGTATATATATATTTTTTTTTTGGTGAGGAAAAGTCACTCTGAGCTAACATTTGTTGCCAATCTTCTTTTCTCTCTTGAGGATGATTAGTCCTGAGCTAACATCTGTGCCAATCTTCCTCTATTTTGTATGTGGGATGCCGCCACAGCATGGCTTGATGAGTGGTGTAAGTCCATGCCCAGGATCCAAACCCGCTAACTCGGAGCATGCCAGACTTAACCACCTCACCACGGGGCCGGCCCCTGGACTATAATTTTTAAGTGGTACAAACAAAGTTATATCATTAAAAGTTTTAGGTCAATAATCTAGCTGACCCAAGTAACCTTAACCCTCTACTTGTACTTGCTCCATTTTCCCCCTAAATAGCTCTATTAAGTGTACTGACATTTATTCTGAAATTTTTTGTGTACATGAATTTGTCATAACAGACTCCCAAAAAGCTACTCAAATTAACTATAATATAACTGAGTTAATCAGTTTTAAATAATTACGTTCCTGTGGCACATGGAGACACTAATTTGCAGAAAAAAAAAATCTTTCCTAAAGATAGACAAGGTTAAAAAGATACATGTTACTTAAACAAGAGAGCCTGAAAAAACGCCTATATAGTAACACCACATGAATGTGGCCAAAGCACTGGGACAAAGTAAATTTATAAGTTTGAAAGCAAGATATGTGATAGCCATATG